AGCCTGTGGAGAAGGTCCGTGGGGGCACTGCCCTGTGCTTGCACCTGAGCACACATTCGTGCACACACACACAGAGCACAGTCCAGGCCCAGGGGGGAAGCATGGGGGGCATCAAGCACTTGGCTCCATTTGAATGCTTATCCTGGAAACAGGCCAAGGACAGCATGTGTCTGCAGGTACCAGATTCCCTTCTTTTAGCCACTGTCCACTTAGGTGAGGCTTTCATTCTAGTAGGAAACATGTACTGTTGCTTTTATGTTTCAAGGACGAGAGTGTCACTACATTTCTCCAGTTATGACTTTCATGCACCACAAAAGATCCCCCCCTTTCTTGCTACTTTCCCCACCCCCTTTGCAGGCAGCATGTTCCTTCCTCAGAGATGCTCAGTTTTCAGAGGGAAGGTGGCTGATGGAAAGGACTGCTCAGGATTTTTATCCTTTTGGTCTTGGAAATGATGCTGGCAGGCTGGTGCAGCATCTCTCCCTCCTTCCCCCTCCCCTGCCTCAGCCCCCTTGTGGGGGAGGGAAGAGCGTGGGCGGTGGAAGGAGCTGTGGTCCCCAGATGTGTGAATTGTTGCCGAGTAGAAATCGAGCACCACGGACAAACCACAGCTCAGCTGAGAGCCATCGCTTTGGGCTTTCGTCACTGACCTTTTCCTCTCGCCCTTCTCTGTCCTCACCTGCCCTCCCACTGCTCTCCCTGCCTGCACTTTGCACTCTGAGAGCTCTCTGCACACTGCTGTGAAGTGTTGAGGAGTACTGGCATAGGAGGAGAGGGGAGTAAAGAAAAAAAACCAAAAAACTGCAGCAGAGAGAAGGCTATGCATTCATCCTCTCTCCATTTCCTTTGGGCTCAGATTGCCATCCTGCAGGACAAGAGAGTCGTGGGCTGAGCCAACTCACCACTGTCCCTGCCTGGTCTACCCATTGAGCTGAAGGCTCAGATGTTCTGTCTCCACAGCTCCAGGACTGGGGATGAGGGAGGAGAACGAAGCCTGTCTGAGGGTCAGGGGAGTGCTTCAGCATCTGCCATATAATGAACAAATAGAATTTTAAAAAAATTAAATTGTGTGGTACGGCTGTCAAAGCCTGCATAATTCTCTAAGACTAAAACAATGCCACCAGCACACCACACATAGAAAAGTGGGAGTTGGGGCAAAGCAAGGTCTTGACAAGTGTTTTGCATTGTGTGTGAAATAGTAACCATGTCGACCCTTGGCCCTAAAGATCTACTGAATTGCTGGCTGTGGCTGCAAGTGACAGGGCTTTGTTGCCTGGAATGTCCTTCCCAGTGATCTGCCCCATTCCACTATTTCAGGGAAAGAAATGAGGCCATGTGGGGAGAAAAATAGTGTCTGTAGGGGTGAATGTGAGAATGCCACAAACCCAGAAAAGCATACGTGAGGCAAACAGAATGCTGTGACCATCAAACATCCAATGGAAGATGCTTGCCCTAGGGCATTGTTGTGTCAAATACCTGGAAAGTGATCAGGGCTTCAGAGAAGGGATCAGAACAGTAAAAATGATGCCTGCAGGATGTGAGTCCGTTAGATAAGAGACCTATTGTCTTCCTTCTTCTCCGTGGACCATTTCTTCCTCTGGCTACTTTGAAGCATTGCATCTGCCCTCAGTAGCACCTGTGAGGCTTGGGCACATCTGCCCCTTAGGAGTGCACTGCAGCTCACACCGGCAGTGGAGGCACCTCTGCACTTCTCCATCCTCACCCACACTGGCAACGGGTGCAAGTGTGTTAAAATGAATCCAGAAAGAACACAGACTCCTGCCTCCCACTCACCCAGGGCTCTATTTACAACCTGCCCAGGTAGATGGGGAGTTCCCTACTCCTTAGCTTCTCCAAGCGGAGAGCTCTACATCCTGCTCCCTCCCATTTTAACTGTTGCAAAGTGAGAAAAGTGCACTGGGAAAAGTGTGAAGTTTTGCAATAATTCACAGGTCATTTGTGAGTGAAGTGACACAAACTGAAGAGACTGGGTGGTCTGTGGAATGAGAAACTGTAGGAAGCCTTTGATTTAAACCTTCTGCCCTGGCCCTCACTGTGGTGTAACTGCAAGGCAAGAGATCACAGAGAGCTCGTGGGTGAAGGAGAATGTGTTTCATTAGATGAGGGAGCTGTGCTTGTACCAAAGAGGCCTGGAGCCTCAGCACCCTCTGCCCACCTCCTGATAGCATCTTCAGAGCGAGCCAGGCTTGCAAAGGGCAACGGTTTCCGCTGTCAGGAAGGTGAGAGATGTCCATACGAGGTTGGTCTGTGTGTTGGCATGTGTGGGTATAGCTGTGTGGGTGTGCACCGAGCTGGCCTCCGAAGCCTGGTGTGACTGGGCAAGTGCCTGCTTTGCCACTGTGGTCAGAGAAGGGCCACACCACACGAGGCAGTGGAACAATTGCCCTCAAATGCAGCTGTGCCCCACCATCCACATAGCCTTGAGCAGGGTCCACATCCAGCCCTTCAAATCCTGTGGTTGCTCCCAGCCAGCCATGGGAAAGGGAGGTTGAGAAAAAGGGGGTCTGGGCAGGCTGAATCCACTGCTGGCATCTGGCTACAATGTGCTTGATGGAGGGAGGTGGCAGCTCTGCTTGTGCCACTGGGCAATGCTGATGGGGTGTTGCATCTCCCCCTCTCCCTCTCTGGACCCTGGAAGATACACAAGACTGAGGTGTGAATGAAGCAGGTTGTCTGGGTGGTTTGGGAGAGGAGAAAGGAGAGCTGCAGCAGAGGGGAAACTTGCTCCAGTACAGCGTGGCAGCCCCTGAATAGTGCACTGGTGTGGGGCTGATCCTGCACCATAGCTGGCAGCTGAGGCAAGGCCAGAGACGCTTCCTGTGACTGCCCCTCCTGTGACAAAGGCTCTGAAGGGATGTGCAGCCAGGTCCTGCTTTCTTGTGCTTTCTGCTCTCCCTGGTGCTTTGGGTGCAAGCACATCCACCCGTGCCCACCTGCAGGGTCAAAGGCCTCCTTCAGACTTTTCTTGCCCTGCTTCTCTCTTCCCCTTTCCCACAGCTATCACAGGGCAAGGAGCTATTGCATAGCCTTCAGCTTCTCCTGACTTATCCCTGGCATGTGCTTCCTTTCCCAGAGACAGCACCATGTCCTGCACTTCATGTCCTTTCTCCCACTCCCTTCCTTTCACACGTGCAAGACCAGGGATCTTCAGGAAGGCAATTTTCAGGGACAGCCCTGTGAGAGATGCCTTGAACAAACTTCAGACATGTCCACAGAGCCTTTTACAGCAGAGTTTGGATCAGTCTTTCAGGGCAAAATATAGGCACAGCTCTGGGGTAGTGCTGTAGCTGTGCATCCCAGGGCACTTTGTCCAGGAGAGAGATACTGGCTGTCACCAACCCCTGAATCACATTCCACAGGGCAGCTCCATCGCATGGAAAAAAACACAGACCTGGGGTGAATGAATGAATGGATGAATGGTCTCATGGCCTTCTGGGCACAGGTGCACTCACTGGCAGGGTGGCAGGGCTGATCTGACCCATTCTAGACCTTGTTCCTTCAAAGCATTGCAGGGTCCATGTTTCCTGAGCTGAGCCTCACCTGCAGCAACTCCCTGGTCAGGCATTCATGCATTCATGGTGTGATGGGTGGCACCAGCTACACACCCTGCCTGTTACCGTGCATCTCAGCCCCCAGGGATTTGGCTGAGGAGACTCTTCAGGCGGCAGGATGAAAGGCTGAATCATAGAAAACTTTTCTTGGAGATCTGGCTATACATTTCCGGTCCCCCCTCCCTCCCTCTTTCCTTTCCTCACCTTTTGTAAGTGTGACAAAGTCACTTCCAATCTGCCAGCATCTCACCTCAAGGAACAAGAACATGCACAAACACAGCCACTACACTTCCTTAGGACACATTTTTATCTGCCTCCTCTGAAGTAAATAAAAAATGGGAAGAAGGCTGGGCTCTGACCTGACAGATTATTGTATTTACCAGGATATATATATATATAGCCCTTGCTCTGGGCCTGTCACAGGACCAAAGAGGCTTGTAGGGATGTGTATGATTATGTATTCCACCCTTTGACAAAAGAAGTGTCTGGTACACATCAAACCACAGGAGAAAATATGTCAAGGCAAATGAAACTCAAAACAAAAGGTCCTATATGGGCACCTGGTCTTGCTCTTTTGCCTATCCTTCTACCTCGGCAGGAGTCCCCTCAGTCCAAAGATGATAAACAAAACCCCATGTACTTCTTTGACTTGGACTGAGTCCCCAAAAGGCATCTCCCTGTCCTTAGGATTCTATCCTTCTAGATCTTTCACTCAAGCTTACAAGTCTCCAGTCCCTGCTCATGTCTTCCCTTCTCCCTCAACTTTATGAGCAATTACCACTTGTCTTTCCACCTCTGACCTGAATCTCAGGCCTTTCTCATCACACACAGGTCTTCTAAATATGCATGTCCAGCTTAACTCTGGAACTCCCACTCATTCCAATATTAGGAAGCACAAGTGTCCAATCAACAGTTTACTATCCCTCCTACACTGTACTTCCTGGCCTTCAGCTCTTGGCAGAGAAAAGAGAAATGTCATAGGGAAAACAGTGCTTACCAAGTACTCGATAGAAGAATGTGCTAAAAAATTTCATAAGATAAAGGGATCTGATCTCCCTTAAGAGAATTCCAACATTAACCCAGCCTTCCTCCATATAAATAAGTACTTGAAGCCTATTCCTACAACACACTATTGTCCTGGGAGTTTATTTTGTAATCTCCAAAGAATCCTTTTCTTAATTTGATGAAAGCTTTTTCAGCAAAAGGGAGAGGGTTGTCATAATTAGAAGTGTTCAAGCAGTTAATTTTTCAAGGTAATGGTTCTTCGCAAAGGAAACAGTTACAAGATTGCCAAGGATTACCCACCAAAGTTTCAGAGCTGAGTTAAACTTTGTACCTGTCAATTTCAAGCCAGTGTCTTTTCTACCACATCATTCATCAATAACCAGAGCTAGAAGGAATAAGCTGGGAGAGAAAAACAGATTTAAGTGCAAAACAACCAAGGAAAAAAGTTTAATACCACTGAAAAAAAAAATATATATACAAAATTCTTGGAGTTTGTTTGGTTTTGTTACATAAAGCACCATTAATTCCAGAGTACATCACAACTCAGCCTACTACACTTTCCAGAAAGCACCCAATACTCCTGAAATCTGATTTAGCACCAAGGGAATGCCGTCTTGTTTAGCACCAGAAGCCTGTTAAACACACCTTTTGGTCCCCCAGCCCTCCTCTCTCACGTGCATCAGGCACCCTCCGGCTGCTCATGGATAGCATAGGAGACCTGCCACCAGCATTCAATCACCAAATAGGAAAGGAGAAAGAAGGAAGCTTCTTTATGGAGATATTTGGTGTTAGAGAGGCTTGCTTCTCTTCAGGGAGGCATGGGGCACTATACACTGTAAATTGACTATATTTGGGGTTGCAGCCTTTTGAGGAAGAGAGAAAGGGATTCGGTCCCAAGCATCACTTCCAGCTTTCTGCTTCCTCTGCTCTCTGAAATCCTGTCTCTGAACAATTCCACACACTTGACCTGCTAAGGGAGAGGAAGAAACCCACAGTCTCCTTTAGTTTCTACGATCCCTTCATCATGCTTCCTGGTGAAAAAATCAGCCTTGCCTTAGTGAAACTTTGTTTTTATACCCGTTGCCTCATTGACAGTGGTGGGGAGGATCCAGAGCAAAGTTCCTGAAACTCACTGCAGTCTGTACAGCTTCCTTAGAAAAGCACTGAGAGTAAGTAAACAGGATAAGAGAGAAAATGCCCTGCAATTTTTTCAAGGTCAGTTTTAGTATTTAGCCTTGGTCCCTGTTCCTTTGCTATCCTGAGCTGTGTGTACCAGGCATAATCTTGTATAACGATGCACATTTCTTCTGGGAGAGCCCTGGTACTCCCAGGTGCTATAGGCAGAGACCGTGGCTCATCAATGAGACAGCAGAACCTGGGTAAGTCCAAAGATTTCCTGACCAGTGATGAGCAGAGGAGGAATACCTGTGTTTCTCCTGCTTGTCCTGCCCTGAGACTCAAAAAGGAGACAAGTCCTGGCACTGCTGTTTATGGGAGGGAGCATCATGACATGTGGAAGTAGGCTTCCTAAAGTGCTGAGCTAGCCTCACCTGCTTCCCCCAGGACTGCAGCATCCCCTCCAGAGGGATGCAAGTGGGAGCAGTGTGAGACCAATATAAATAGTACTAGAAAACCCTACCACTGGCATTCCTTTCTCACTGCGACATCTCCAACCTGACAAAAAGGTGCTAGGGTTTGTTTTAGCCACATGCTTTTCTCAGTTACTCTGATGAGATTGCCAGAAAAGGGCATGGAGCATACGGCAGGGAAGCTTTTAACCCTTGAGCAAGGTGTTGTTGTCTCACCTCTATCTCTGTTCCATCAGAGAGGTAAAGAAGTGGCAGCCTATCCATGTTTGGAATTGATTTAACTGCAATTGCCCCTACAGCCTCGAGCTCAGGCCCTGAAACAGTGGTCCTTCAACAGCAGCGTGGGAGAACCACCTTCAGGAGGACAATGAAATGGCACCTCTACCAAAGGAGAGCAGATTCAGGTTCACTCTCTGGACTAGCTTCCCATAGCTGATGAGCCAAGACTGAGTGGCACCCCAGGGGAGGTGTGGGAGGCGGTTTTCAAGGTTTTCCCTCCCTGTCCCTCATTCTGTACTGGTGATCCCTAGCGAGAACAGAATGGTCACCTCTACTGAATCAAGGGTATGAAGGGTCTGGCCAAGTGTCTGGCCCGTCATCCCTTTGAAGAGCTAGAGCTGGCACAGAGGACAATCCCACCAGGCCTAGGTTTGATGGCCAGCCTGGAGTCTGTGACACAGAAGAGTGTCTATGGAAAGCCAGTTTAGAAGGCCAACAGTTCCCTTTTTGGAATATATATTTTTGGAATATCGTCTCCCAGTGCTCCTACCTCTTCCTTGTGCTACAGGAAGCTATCAGACCCCAGTCTGCTCTCCAGACTACAGACATCAGAGGTGACATTAAGACCTTGTTTCAGGCTGCAAAACTGGTATGTCTAGTTGAGATGGAGAGGAGCCAGGATGTACCTCAGCAGTGGGGACTTTCTAGCCCTGTCCACAGGAGTCCTTTGTGTATGAAGCCCCAAGGAGGGACACAGGCCCAGGAGCAGCATTTTAGCTTTCTTCTTGCTCTAGAACCCTAATGCCAGAGGCAGATTGCTGGCAGATTGAGAAGAAGCCAATAACCTAAATTGGGATTATGAGGTGAGGGGCAAGAGGTGGTAGAGCCATGATGTAAAGTGGACAGATACAGGTCTGGCTACAAGAGAGCGTGAGGTGGGAGCCAGTGTGGCAAGTTTCACACTCAGTGCCTGAGATTTGACAGGCCCATTTCCAAGTGATTTGCAGTGGCTACGGGCAGTAGAGAGAGAGAGAGAGAGAGAGAGAGAGAGAGAGGGAGAGAGGAAAAAGGAAAAGGCCTAAGAGGCCCTAAGGAAGAGGAGTTATTCAATGCTGGGCTTGACCAAGTACCCACTGAAGGTGATGTACACATCAACATCATCACTGTAAATGGCATTCTCCCGCTCCCGCTTGTAGAGCCTCACCCAGATCTCATCATTTTCCTGGAGCTCCAGCATGAGGCTCTGGCTCTGCATGATGCTGCGGTCGCTGGGTTGGGCATACAGGATGACCGCCTCTTCTTCGTTGCGCATGATGTGCATGTAGGTCTCCTTGAAGTTCCAGGTGTGGACATTGAGGCTGAAATAGTAAAGTCCACCCACTGAGCAGTAGAATTTGCCATTGAACATGTCGAAGTGGCTGTAGAGGTTGACGAAGACGGTGTCAAAGAGCAAGACCTGGAAGCCCTCGCTGCTGTGCAGAGCTTTCTTGCGACCGACGGAGAATGCAGCGTACTGATGTTTGCAGGGGTCTCCTGCTGTGCCCATCTGTCCTTTACTGCCTTTCTGGCCCTGGGCACCCCGCTCGCCTCGTGGTCCTTCTTTGCCCCATTTCCCTGGCATCCCAGGCTCTCCCCGGTCTCCTTTCTCTCCTACAGGAGGAAGCAGAGGACACAAATCCTGTGTGATACCAGAAGATGTGGAAGTGGTGGTGAGAAAGCCTAATGAGGAGGCAGAGAATTGCACAAGAATGGGAAAATGCCAGAAGAAGGAACACTTCTGAGGGCCACAATACCACTGCTCTTCATGGGAAAGGAGCTAGCAGAACTCTGGGAGTGACTGGAGTTTCTTCCCCAATGAATCCCCTGCTCACCAAATGATACGGTTCTGCTGGAAGCACCAGGATGTCTCCCTAGGAGACTTCAGCCTCAGAGGGAGCCCAGCAGTCCAAAGCGGCACTGAGGCTCTTGACCTCTTCTTCCTCCCCCGCACTCCTTTACCTCCAGCACAGCCTTTCCCTCCACCTCTGCTATGACCCAGTTTTCCATACAGGATCCACTCTGGTCTTGCTGTAGGGTGGAGGAGGGGAAGAACTGCTAACACCTGTGGGGGAATATGATTAGGGAAGGACAAAGGGTGGGTCAGAGGGAAAAGATGCAAGCTGGACTGGGCAGATGGAGCACTGCAGCTTAGAAGGATGGTGCTTCCACAACACTGGCATGCTTTGAGCATCTCATATAATTAATACTGCAGTTCTAACGTAGAGTGTGTGCACTGCCCATCACACACTTGGGCAGGCATCAATACACAGAGAGATCAGCACCAGAATGTACTTTGTGTATACAGAGAAGAAATGGGACTCAGAGCAGCCTCCAGCACTAAGTGACAGCATTCAAAATCTGTATCTTGTTCTTTTCCTCCTCTCCATCCCCTGGTATTGAGGGCCCCCTACAACACCCCACTCTATTCTAGGCCTCTTTCTGCCCTTCTGAACTTTGATGGACTGCAGCTACTTCCAGGCAGGGCAGGGAAGGGAGAGCATCTGCCCAGTTAGCCCAGAACAGCCATAGAGCTACAAGAAGCGTGTGGAAGCATCCAGCTGGGAACAGGCTTTTGCCCACAGCAAAGGCTAAAAGGGGAGTCCTGAAGGGAAGAGCTGATTGAAAATAGGGAACCCTTTCCCATTAGCCAGGTCAGCCACTGCAGGGTGGAATGAGCTGGGAGGTTACTGCCAGTTTAACCTGGAGGTGCTTGCAAGTAACTGCTGCTTCCCTTTGCCCTCCTCTGGCTCCCAAATGCATATGACCCACAGAGCTGGATAAGGTTTCCCCACAACCTCCCTGGGTGCCAATGCCCTCCAAAAATGCTTATTTTGCAGTTGATAAGGAGTGTTCCTTCCCTCAGGCACTACAGGGCTCTGTGAGTCTGAGACAAGGAATGTGTCCTTCCAGCTTGGCAAGAGGCTGTCAGTGCCACTCCTGTGTTAGCAAGGAGGAAGAGTTAGTAGCAGGCAGCATCCTGAGTCACAGACATCACAGCAGAGAAAGCATTGACTTTCATCCACCAAGGCTTCTCCTCATCAGAGCACAAAACACCTAAACCCTGGCCACAGTGTGTGTGGTCACTTATCATCCAGGATGGCTCCTGGTGGTCTGTTAGCACAACCAGCATGCCAGCAATCCAGCTGTCACCTCCAGTGCAATGCCATCAGTCCCTGAGCCAGCCTTGGCACCCCAGGGCAGACTTACCCTTCAGAATGGTGATGTTGATATAGGGACGGACCTCTGGCATTGGGTAGGGAAAGTGGTGGTGGCTGGGAGGGACTGGTGGGGTATCTGAAGAAGAGTCCAGTGAGTCACAACAGCGCTTGCAAGCACCAGGGCCTGGTTCTGTGAGGCTGGGTTCATCAGCGGGTGCCCCAAACACAACAAGAGGGAGAAAAAGGAAGGTCAGGGATGTGCGCAGGTAGCTAATGTCCATGGTGACCTGGGAAGATAGAAGAAAGTGCCAAAAGTGAGGCATAAGAAGGGGGACGACATAAAGGATGGAACAGAGATCATGATAAAACATCTTTCTGTGGTTGGAGCCGGGGGGGGTGGGGGGGTGGGGGGGGAGGATGAAATGGCATTGTCCTGTGGAGGGAGCTTACATGCTTGTTCAAGGCTGCAATCTGGGCAGCAACCGCATGGCCCAAGAGGATGCCCCACGCCCTTCTGCCCAGGCCAGTGGAGACTCACTGCTGACCCTGGGACCAGGCTTGATGCTGACTAGGCACACCATTTAAGCCACTAGAATGTTCAGTCCCCAGGCTGGGATAGTGGAAGGAGACAGAATCATAGAATTGTTAAGACTGAAAAAGACCTCTAGGGTCATTGAGTCCAACCTCAACAGCTCTTTAGCAAAAGCATGCTTTGGTAGGCTGCTCAATCGGTGGGAAGCACTGTAAAAAAATTCTCCAGCCCTCCTATCACTGCATATCCATTCTTTATAGAAATCTAACCCCAAAATCCCCACGTCCCAGAAGAGATGCCTCTTCTCCTTTGGGCTGGGAACTTCAGCCCCCTCCTTTCCCCCACCAAATCCCACCCGTCCTGGCAGCTCGGTGCCCTCCCACCCATGCCCAGTGGGTTCTCAGGCAAGCCCCAGCACCTTCCCAAGGGGACAGCCGGCTCCCCAGCGCAGCCTTTGGGCGGACCAGAGGGGAGCTGCTCCGCTGCCGAGGCTGGAGGACGTGAAGCTCCGCAGCCTGCAGAGAAGTATGCTTACGAAAGACAGACACGCCGAGCAGCTGCGAAAGCCCCTCTCGCAGCCCGTGTCCCCCATCCCGCTGCCTGCCCCGGCACGGCGCGGCTGCTCACCCCGGGGGCCGAGCGCTCCCCTCTCCGCTGCCCAGCCCCCGCTCGCCGGCTCCCCTCCGCCTGCCGGGCAGGCCCCCGCGCCCATGGCTTTAAGGAAGCCGGCTCTTGGCACAGGCACTGCTCAGCGCTGGCTGGGTGCGCGAGTTAGGCTTGGACCGGCTCCCTCCCCTCTCCTCTCCCTCCTTCTCCCTCCCTGGCTTTGGGTGCTCTCCATCCTAAAGCGGCTTGGGTTTCAGCGTCTTTTTAACTCTTTCCTAGGAAGTGCCTTTTCCTTGTACGTGTTGTTAGTTTGGTTTTATTCTCTGCCTTTTCACTTCCAGCCAGTACAGACTGTGCCCTGTGCAAGGGGTGGACAGCAGCAGGATCGTGTCCCACCCTTGGCATCCCAGGATGCACAAGGTAAGGTGCATTGGTGCAAGAGACAGACTTTTCTTCAGGCAGGATGCTACAGAATTCTGCCCTCAGTCCTTCGTGCTAGTCCCTTGTCCCATGGCCATGCTTGGCCATGCTCTCTCTGCAGCTGTGCCTGACGCCCTTATAGTCCCCAAACTTTTCTTTCTCTCTCTTTTCTTTCATTCTCTCCTGCATTGTTTTTCCTGCACATCACTGTGGCCTCTTGCCCCAGGCATGATATTTCTTGCAGGAGCAGCCGCCAACTGGGAGAGGCATCAGTTTTTTTTCCTCTCTGGTCATCCCCTCTGCCTGGGCAGAGCCCCAAGCCTTGTGCTCCAGCACGTGTCATCCCCTGGTCACATCCCATGTTTAGGTCCCAGGCTGAGCTTTTTGGACTGGAGGGGTGTGCCTGGCTGCCGGGAGCAGCCTGCCAGCAAAACTGGGGATCTGGAACAAACCCTGGCTGTGACCATTGTCCCCAGCTTGGCGCCAAGCTGACAAGCTTGTGCCTTTGGGGTAAGCACGATGTGGATACACCAGAGCATTGGAATGAAGGGCATTTTGGAGGGGAGAAGAATGCAGGGTAGAGAGATGGGAGATTTTTCTCACACAGCAGTCGGTTGGGAAGAGGATTAGAAGATTCTATCCTGCACCAAAACTGACCTGGATATTTATACTCTGGGTATGTGTGGGGTGGGGGGGAGGGGGATGTGCACATACAGATCTTTGAAGTTAGAAGGAAGGATGGACAGTATCTCTGTTCTGCAGGGGTCAGAAATGCCAAGTCAGCACTGTGCCTCCTGCAATTTCCAAGAGGAGCTGCAGAAGGCTCCAAGGTTTCTAAGGGGAATCAGGTTTTGAGCGTGTCTACGTGTGCTGGGACTTTTTTTTCCTGTTTCCCTTCTCCCATTTGTTTGGTTTAGGAATGGGAGGCCCTGCTTCCCAGAGAGTGGCTGGCGTTTGGCAGGACCCCAGAACCACTGGAGAAGCAAGCGGAAAACTCTGGGAAAATATGCACTGTGAGCTGAGGGGGAAGGGAAGAATGGGGGCTGGGAGGCCTGGAGATATTCTCAGGCTGCCTGTCAGCCTGGAGCTCAATGAACATGGAGTGAACATGCCTCCCAACCAGGGCAGGAAGAGGACGGAGAAAAGCACTGCTGAGTTCATGAATTCCTTACCAGGCTCCAGCACTGATGTGCAATGAAAGCCATTGCAAGTTGTCCACGTTTGCCTATGCCTCAGTTTCCCCGTTTGGGAAATGGGTGGGGGGTGGGGGGGGGGAAGGTTAGGGCCATACTTCTTGCTAATGGAGCCTTACCAGCTGACAGAAGAGGGGTTTTGTGATGAGTTTTGTTGTCTACTCCTGGCTCCTGCTGGTGGAAATTTTGGCAGCTGACAGTACTATTAAAGGCAAGAAGATTTTCTGGGGTGCATGAAAACTTGGAAACTGATATGGAAGATAAAGTCCCTCTCTGTCCCAGAAAAGCTTCTGCAGTGCCTTTCTCAGGTTTTCCTGCCTGGCTTATTTCCAAACATGATATTACCCACTTGGGGTTCTTGGCCTTATGCCTGGCCTCTTTCACCTTTCCAAGGGAAACAGGTAGCAGGGAGGCCATTGTCCTCATTTCCGTCCCACATTTCCATCTGCAGCCCTGAGCTGCTCACAGCCAAGCAGATGTTCTTCATGGGGGATCTCATCAGCTGGGCCCTTTGCCTGTATCTCATCTGACTGCAAGAACAGCTCACAGTGGGGAGCGAGCAGGACTTTGTATTTAATGTCTCAGCTGGGCTGAATAGGGACCTGCCAGGAGCCAGCAAACAAAGACGTGCTCTGGTGGCATTGCCCAGCTGGGCAGAAGTTTATGCCAGTAAAGACACTTTTGCTAGGGTAATATTGCCCTGCTCCCCAAAGGGAACAGTGTGTACCAGCAATATTTTGCCAGGACAGACACATTTACAGGAGATTTTGAGAATTCTATCCAGTAAACCTGTGCCAGACATGCTTTAAAGTGCAGTTCAAGCCTGAGAGCACTTTGTGTACCCAGCAATCTTCTCTCTCCCTCATCACACACTTTGCCTTGGAGGCAGCCCGGGCAAGCACTGTCCAGATTATACTGCAATGATCCTCACTCAAAAGCAGCTGTTTTCTCCTCCTCCATTTCCTCCCTTTTCCTATACCCACCACAACACTGGCAAAGTAGGGGGACAAAGATTGTTTCTACCTCAGTGGCTGCATCCATCCTATTACCCCCCTCTAGAACAGGTATGGAGAAAGAAATTGATGCTTTCTCTCCTCTCTAACCCCTGTGTACAGCTCAGCTCCCCTGTGGCACATGTGGATCATCTGCCCTGTTGCATACATACAGCACACATCCACGCACAAACACTCACCCTGCACAGCTCCTCCCTCACCAAACCTCCAAAGTGAAGGGGTATCATCTGACCAAGAGCCAGAGGAAGAGCCGCTTCTCTTCCCCTTCCTGACTGCTTCTCCTCCACAGCTGCCTTTCCTTCCCCATGCTCCCCACTCCTCTGCCCCATATCTTCTGGAGCATCACAAGCCAGGAGGGGAAGCGGAGCACCCCTTACCTCCGCTCCCCTCCGCAGGGGTCCCGCGCTGAGTTATCTGTATCCCGTATCCTCAGCTGCTCCTGGTTAGCAGCGCGGGAGGGAGGGCCGGCGGGCGGCTGACTCCAGCCAGATGCTCGCCAAGTGCTCTTATGTAATTACTGTCTTTTTCATCCTGCCTCCAAGGCCTTTGTGAGTGCCTCTCCTCCTGCTCTGGTCCGTGTCAGGCTTGGCTCTCCCTCCCTCTCTCCCTTCTTCCCTCCCTTCCTCCCTCCCTTCTTCCACCCACCCAGCATCAGAATTTGCTCAGTTCAACAGCTGATTCCTTCTGGAAGCAAAGTTCAGGCTTTTGGCTACTGCTGTTACTACCCTTGGAGAGAGAACTCACACGTGTTTAAGAGCTGGGAAGGGATCAGCAGCACTGCTCTGCACTTGCCTCCTCTCCATTGCAGCCTAGCTGCTCCTGGGTACCTTTGCCTTGCCCTTCCATAGTGACTGTAAATCGGGAGGGGTACACCCGAGACATTAAAAGGTGGCAATGTGGTTTTTTGCTTCAGTAATTTGTGGTGCCCTCGGGTTATCCTGTAACAGCAGCTGTCACTCTGTTGTACCAGGATTGCTGATCATCTCTGGCCAGGCAGCATTAGAGGCTGGGAAGAATACATGACCTTTAAAGGTTCTTTCAAACCCAAACTATTCTGTGATTCTCTGATTAGATGAATCTTTTCTAGCCTGTGGACTCCATGTCTGTGCATAGGGCTTGTGCAACAGTCAGCCCTGGTTACTCAAGAGCACCAGCATGGTTCAAAATCACCGGTCCAGAATACTTTCTACGTCTCTAAGGATGGGCAGACTATTAGATGTCAGCTGCATGGCTACATTTCTCTTTAGGCTTCTGCCCATGTGGGGCCTGGACCAAGCAGAAATGACACGTTCCCTGGCTTTATGCAGGCTGCTGCTGAGTTTGAAGGCACTTCTGCCAGCAGGGATTTCTGCTGTGTGCTGCTTGGCGGCCTGGCCTGTCTCACACAGAGATCAAGGCCTGGCAGAGACTCTGCTTTTTTATTTTTTTGCTGTGCATTGCTGAAATGCCACGTGGCTGAGGAGCAGCTGGAAGAACTGTTCACCTGCACTCATTGCTTGAGCAAAGCTGTTGCTAGACCTGGCAGTCTCCAATACTGAGCTTGAAAGTGTGAGCTTGTCTTCTACTTCCAGTGCCCCCACAGCCAGTCCTTGTGTGACACAGCTGAGCAGAGAGGGAATCAGACACTGGCTCACAAGCTGCATCAGCTGGAGATGCCTCACAGCATCACTCAGGCTGCCCCTCTCCCCACCAGCAGCTTTCCCAATTTGAGTGTCCCATCTCTTACCTTTGCCTTGTGACTCTGCCGGTGAGTCCAAGGAACTGTGCTGGTATCCCCCCAAACTCTGGAATATAATTACAAGGACTATCCCTACTGCAACCAGGAAGAGTTTGCTGCCTTGTGAACATCTAGATCCAGCAGCTTGGCTGGGTGGGAGATACTAGGTGACATTGCAGCCTGTTTGAATCAGTTCTTAAAAATAACCTTCAGACAAGCCTGCTGCTTTCTGCTTCTCTGCATCTGCATGCACCTGAAGGCCCCCTCCTCCTATCCACTCCAGTGTAGACCCCGAAAATTTTACTCCTTTGCCATCCTCTCCTATGCACACTCCTAGACCTGCTCGTATCACTTATCAACACACTAGTTCACTACTCAGGGCATATCAGCTCTCACAAGGAGTGCTGAGAAAGGTGCTCAGCAGTTTGGGTGAGAAAACTTTCTTCAGAGATAGCCATGAACTTTCTCACCAAAGAAACAAAAATTTTGTGGAGGGAGGATGGGGTATGGGGCATGAGTGGACAGGTGGATGGGCAAGGAAGCTGGTGTTTCGAGCTCACAAGCTCTTGGATCTGTGAGGGGTGCTTTCCACTACGGGAAACAGATTGACATGACAGAATTATAGAATCAAAGGGTTTGGGTTGGAAACAGCCTTCAAGATCATCTAATTCCAAGCCCCCTGACATGGACATATTCTAGTGGATCAGATTGCTGAAAGCCTGGCCTTGAATGCTGCCAGGGATGGGGCAGCCACAGTGTCTTTGGGCAACCTGTGCCAGCGTTTCACTACCCTCACTTCCTTAACCCTGACCTCCTTCAGTTTAAAGCCATTCCCCTTTGTCCTATCATTATATGCCTTTGTCAAAAGTCCCTCTCCAGCTTTCCTGTAGTCTCCTGTTAGGTGCTGGAAGGGACTATAAGATCTCCATGGAGCCTTCTCTTCTCCAGGCTAACAACCCCATTTCTCTCAACTTGTCTTCATAGGACAGATACTCCAGCCCTCTGATTATCTTCATCACTGCCGTCTTGGACCTGCTCCAACAGGTCCATGTCTTTCATATATTGGGGTCCCTAGATGGAGTATCACCAGAGAGGAGTAGAGGGGCAGGATCACCTCCCTCGACTTTCTGGACACGTTTCTTTTGATGCAGCCCGGGACACAAGCGTCTCTTTGTGCTGCGAGTGCACACCTCTCATGCCCGCGCAGGTCCCTCTGGACGTCTGACCCGCGGGGGGCTAGCACGGAGAGGCTCCAGCGCCGCTTGGCAGCACAGCGCTTACCCCGGCGAGAAGGGCAGCCCGGCCGCGATCCCGGCTGCCGGCCGGTGTCCGATCCCCCTCTGCAGGACGCGCCGCGCAGCGCCCGCGATCCCCGCGATCCCCGCGATCCCCGCGATCCCCGCGATCCCCGCGATCCCCGCGTCCCCCGCGATCCCCGCGATCCCCCGCGCCCCCCGCGATCCCCACGTCCCCCGCGATCCCCCGCGCCCCCCGCGATCCCCGCGTCCCCCGCGATCCCCGCGATCCCCGCGATCCCCGCGATCCCCGCATCCCCCGCGATCCCCGCGATCCCCGCGATCCCCGCGATCCCCGCGTCCCCCGCGCCCCCCGCGCTGCCCCTCCCGCCCCCTGCGTGTCCCCCGGCGGTGCCCGAGAGCAAGGCAGGACCGGGATGGGCTCTCCCGTCCCCGCTGCGGGGCACTGCCTGCCCGGGCACTGTTTGCATCCGTACTGCCGGGCCCCGCAGCCCTGTTTGTCATGTAGGGAGGGCTGCTGTGCTGCAGCCCAGGCACGTGTCCTGGCCCGGCTGCACTGACGCACTGGGTACGCGCGTGTGGCTGTTTGTGCATGACGTGCTGAGTGTGAGATCTGCGTGAACCGGCTGCGTGGTGTGTAGCGTTTGCATAGTTTATGCTTGGGAAGGCAAAGAACAGCGATTTTTCATGAGCAAATATTTGCATATTTTCCACTCGTTCGAGCAGATAAAGCATTTCAATTCTCTGTCGGATCCTCAGGAGAGCTAGAGCATCTTCTTTTTAAAGATGTTTCCCCTTTTTTTATTCCCCTGTCTCTTTTCTCTAGAGGCTACTCCATTACAACAGTGTTTCCTGCCCCCTCCACATACCCCCTTGTTCCACAGCCCTGTACAACAGCAGAAAGCAGAACATAGCCTGGACAGTTTTGCCTGATCTGAGCTGCTGTGATTCCCTGCTGATGACAAATACAGCAGTGCCCTAACAACAGCTTCAAATGACATTATGTGTGGGCTGTGTTGGTAACAGCCTGGAAATACACCCTCGGTTCTCCACACTGGATCCCCTCTGCCATCACCATTCACCACCCTTCCAGTTTTCCTCCTGAAGATCCACTGCAGGGCAGAAAGGTCCCACTGACCAGGTCAGCAGCTGCTCCAGACCAGTGTGTGTGTGTGTGTGCTTAGGTTTGGGGGTGTGTGTGTGTGTGTGTGTGGAGAGCCCTTGGCAAGGTGCAGCTGCCCTCTCCCAGCCTGAGCCTGTGTGCATTAAGGTGATCGTGCCTTGTTCTTGGTGTTCGAGCTTAGGCTGAGCGATACACACAGGTCTGGGTGTGTGGGCACCTGTGTGCGTAGCCCCATATGGTCTCATGCACACATATATGTGCTTGCATCCATGCATGGTATGAATATGTCTGTGTGTTTACACACATCCACATACATGCACACACACACACATGCAATCATGCAATAAACACTCAGTTGCATGCATGCATACACAGCACACACAAATGTCTCTCTCTGCTCTTGTATGTTCTGATGTGTGTGCACAGACACTCTGACAGAATGGGTTCCCTGTGTCTCTATCACCCCATCTGTAATCACACGTTTGCTGGGAAAAGGATTGCACAATGCTGCTGAAATCATTGCAGCCCTTTCTAGTCTTGCAGCTCTGATCACTACGTGACAAGAATGAAACCTTTTGTGCAGCACAGGGCTTGATGGTGCCCTTATCTCTGTGTCTCTGCACCCAGAATAGAAAAGCACTTTTCCATAGCTGACTGGAGCAAATCCCCCCTGAACTCATCCAGACTTTCATTTAGCACATGGTCCCCACGGCCTCTGGGTTGCCCAGAGTCAACCACAGCATCGTTAAGGAGAGGGATCACAAGGGCAGTCAGATTAATGCCATTACCACAGAAAACTCTGGGGATTCACCAACAGAGAGACAGTGCTAAGGAAAGAGCAGGGGTCAGGAGGCAGCGACCTCCTGATCATCATTCCAAATGCCTGTTCCTATGAAAACCAACCTTTAAATCAGTGGTGATAATTTGTAGAATTTTGTGGTATTTATTTTCTCTTCATGAATTTTAGACAATGCCTTTTCCTTCCCCTCCCCCAGTCTTATTTTCTGTTAATCTTCTTTTTTTCTTTCCCCAATTTGTCACTGCAAAACAGGATACAGCCTAAGGGGGCGAAGAAAACACAAGATAGAAAAATGTGATGCTTGTGTCTCTTTTCTTTTAAACCACTATTTCATCTAAAGATTTTGTTTTTTTTTTCAGATCTCTCTGGAACACATTTTGTTTGCCCCAGCACACAGGCCTGCAGGGCTGCCTTGGTGGGAGCTCAGATTCCATGTGTCAAAATGATGTCTCCTTGGCACACTTGCTTGGTGCTGGCATTGCAGTACTTGGGCTCTTAAGGAATGTTGGTATTTTAAGAAGCCAGCCAGTCAAAGGAGTTTCTTGAATGGTGATCTGCAGCAGATGGAGCTGCAAAGGCATGTGAAATGAAGTCTTAGCTCCATTTAGTGGTGAAGGAGACTGTCTGTGTTAAATGTGTTGGCAGCTGGGGAACTCCCCCCATCTCCCCACGGCGGCTCGGTTGCCACTCCATGGATAAGGAAACCCATCCTCTATCTGCCCCCCATCCTCCTGAGCTGCTTCCTGCAAGGTCCTTGATCACAACCACATGTCTTCTTCAGCACCTGGTCATCAACCACGACCAGTGCTACAAGCTCCTCAGATAATACAGTCTCTGCTCTGTCCTGCTGGGATTGCTCTGCCAGGGGAGTCCAGCATTCACCTGGCTCTGCTCTTCTCTGTAAGAGGAGCAACACAGACCGGAGTTTAAAGTGCTGTGTTGTCCATCTATCTGACCATTAGGTAGTCAGCCCTTTTAATCTTTCCACCACTTGCTGCCCCTTATAGAGGCAAAAGCTTTGGCAGCCCATCCTTATTCTGCCAGGATTTCTTGGTTGTGTTTCATCCAGTGAATATTGCGGGAGCTCCCCAGGAAACTAAAACAGAGGCTTTTTTTAGTCCAACAAACTTTATCCCACGCCCATGAATAGTTTGGCTGCTTTTCTGACTGGGGCCCATGGTGTGGGAAGCTGATGCCTTGATTGAAGGAGAAAAAGGTGTAAAGACATAGCAGAAGATAGAAACTGGCTACTGAGCTCTTTCTTTTCCCCATGAGCTGAGCCTGCACTCCTGGGTGTCTGACTGTCCGTGCTCAGGGGAGTGCTGTAAGGGCAGCTGAGCAGTTCCTGTGTGGTCTGGCAGGCAGCTCAGCTCCCGAGGCTGAGCCTGCAGGCATGGACAGCTTGGCACCAGCATCCCAGGCTTAAAAAGGAAACATGAGGATGTAGGATTTCAGGGGGACAATCTTTGTCGTGGGGGTGATGGCAGTACCAGTGGCTGAGAGCACAGTTGAATGTGTTTTGGTTGGTTGTGTCTGCAGTCTCTGCCTACCCTTCCTCTGCTATCTAACCTGGCTAGGAGGTGCCTGTTCACCTGACACCCTGTGACAATCCTTACCTAAAGTCGGATGTCCTGCACTGCAGTTCTTAGGCCTGCCAGGCCTTCATGTCTTCTCACATTGCCTTTGCATGACCTTGACTTTTGCTTCCTCATAAAGTAGTTCTGTTCCCACGATCCTCAGCTGCTGCAGCTTGTTCTGCTTCCCAGTCCAGGTCTTTTGGCTTCTGTCCCAGCACACCCGACCCCATGCCACCCCTTACCTCCTCTTACCTTTTCTCAAGTGATCTGTGAGACATCTTTCCATTACCCAGCCAGCTCCCATAATTGACGCTCCACAAGTCACCTCCTGCAACACCTTCTAACCTCAGGAGGCATGTATCCTTCTGGTGGGTCCCTCCTTCCCATTTCTCAAAATTGTTTGTAGAGAAAACTGCCCAAAGGGCTGTGGTATGAGGGTCATTTCGGTGGCTGTAATTTAGCAATAGCATTCATGGAGAAGCTAAAAGTGTGGGGACAGATATTTTAGCAGAGCTGCAGGAATGAAGCCAAAGTCGAGAGGGAGACCTTTATCCCACCCACCCTTGTACAGTGCTGCTCCTATAGCCTCCCATCACACTCAGATGGGCCCACCTACAACTTCCTTCCAACAAGCAGTGCGCAGAAGTAAGCACTCATCCAACTCCACAGCAGCACACTTGCTCTCCAACTCTTATCCAAACACTTGTATCTGCACTTAAACATCCTGCAATTACATAAACACACTCCCTCATCTGTGTTAGTGTACACTGACACACATGCATACCCCCGCAGGTAGCCCTGCACATATGTGCACACCCCCAGCAGATGAGCATCAGTGCCCAGGACTGGCACCAGCCTCCCACTAGTCCTGACTCCTTGGTCTCCAATCCTCTTCAGCCATCCCCAAACATGTACAGTCCAGGGAACAGAGTTTTGCTTACAAATACCTTTGTGCACATGCAGACACCTCATTTTTCACCAAATACTCTACCACTTCCCACAGGATAAGTCAGTTCCTAGTATTGCCCATACTCCTTACAGCCACAGCACTCACACACTGGAGATCCCAGATCCCCTGACCTCTGTCTGCTTCCTGCCCCAGTCCTGGACTGAGAGATGCCTTCACCTCCTGTATCAGCCAAACATGACTCCATACAGAGATCGACTCAACTCAAAGACATTGTGTATTCTCAGGAGAGCCATATCTATACCTAAACACATATCTCCCCTAAACACATAGAACGGTTTTGCCCACCTGGCCTTCTAAGTCCAAAGGCTGTTTATTTATAGTAAAGCTTAAGGAGAAGAAAAGAAATTCTGCCTCCAATTCATGTTTCATTGTCTTCTTCTGTACACTTGTTACCTCCCACCAGGGTGCAGAGGCACCGGGAGAACCCTGAGGAATGCGAGGTGCAGGAAAGAAATGTTCCAATTTTTTCTCCCAGGTAAGTCTCATAATCCTGCCCAGAGTCCCAGAGCTCTGAAAAGAAAGAGGAGGGTTTGAGCAGTAAGTGGTCTCTAACCATTACCAGCACAGGCAGAAAATCTGTCCCCAAGACTTTTCGAAGAACTAGAGAAGGGCCAGCCATGCATGCAACTGGCTGGCATGTCTTTGCTGTAGACATTTCTCCTTTCTGTTCATCTTTTAAGGTAGACCACTTCTCATGTTTATAAGTCAAGGCAC